TGCGCTTCGCCCTTGCGCGCTCTTGCGGGCACACGGTTTTTACACACATTCCCACTGTGTAGTAGCAGTAGTAGTAGGAGTAGTAGCGGCAACAGCAGTAGTAGTCTTCCAGCATCGCTGCTTACACAAGGATTCAACCGGCTGGATTGTGCCAGAGTGTAGCACAGGATTAGTACTGGAAGTGCCTCGTTTCGGAAGCTGGCTCCATTGTGCCTGATCCTAATACAACATTAGCACTGGAAGTGCCTAGTAGCTCAGTATACCTTCTTACACTATGTATCGCCCTGCGCTCGCCCTTGCGCGCTCTTGCGCCGTGCCGTGTTTAGAGCATGTCCTAAACGTGAATTCAAATATTAAAGTGCGCTGCTAGTCTACGGTCAAGAGCCGGGGGTTTAGAACAACCCTCATGTAGACATTCGGGGTTCCAAATGGAACGATCGGCTAGCACGAAATACCAAGCCCATTGTGACGCTGCACAAACACGCATGCAAGATCTTATCACAATGGTGAACTATATGGGTTGCCCATACGTTTCCGCAGAGGGACGCGGGATTGCTACGACGTTTCGGATCGTTCCGGAGCGCGCAACGACGTAGGGCTAGCACCCAATAGCACCCGTTTGAGACACACATCCGCGGCATCACACATCAAATCCGGGCATTCCCCGTGAAGACACTCGATTCCACAAGCACCCGTTCGACTGCAAGTGGTATCACGGCACATAAAAGCCAGCTAGTCCCCATTCAAGCGCTGGATTTCGCAAGCGCCAACTCGAGACACAAGTGGCATCACAACATGTTAAGCTCCCGGGTCGATGCTCAATTCCAGAAACACTCGTTCGAGACACAAATAGGTGGCATCATTGCACGTAGCGGAATCGACACTGTCAGGGTTAAGGCTCAAGCTTTAGGACATTGGGAGTCGTGTTTGATTTTGAATGCTTCCGTATCCCAGGTCAAAGAGTCTAAATCAGTCTAACACCATGTGCCAAAGATACAACGTCAAGTCCATTGAAAAGTATGTCCATACCGACTGCCGGGACTTGTTGAGAATGCCTCCCCCCCACCGTGTGCACGCGCCAAGGCATGACTTCACCCAAGGCGGTGCGACTTAACGCAACCCCCCCATAAGGCAGGATGCAGACAGACCTCGGCAGTGTGACAAAATGGCCTGCCTTTCAGGCTTCGATTTTTTTTCACACGCACCTTTTTCCTGCTGTCTCTGGCGTCCGTGGCTTTCCCACGGGCTTCCTGAGGCTTATGGGCTCCTACGGCCGGAGCGGGTGACGACTCGCCCCCGCCGAGGACAACAAGGCGGCAGCGGCGCGCTGAAGTGTGTTGTCGGCAAGAGGCATCTGCAAAATAAGTATGGCAAGAAGCCAAGTAGGCAAAATATCCAAGTGCCATATTGATCCGCCGGGGTGGCTACAGAACACATATTCCAGATATGCTTCCAAACAGCCTATTCGTCAGATCCGCAAGTAGAAGGAGTCGGAAAAGGTGGTGCAAAAAGCACATACGACACACAGGCGATTTGGCCCCACGAGTATAGCCGCCGTCGCCGGAAGAGTTACAAATCTTTCAGCACAGGTGCACGATTTGTCCGTTCGACGTGGTTACAAAACGCATATTCCAGATAGCCTAGGCGTCACAGTTCCGCAAGTAGCGTAGCCAAGGCGAGCTGCAAGGCGCAGCCCGACCACCTGCGATCCCACCCCCCCACACGGGCAGCAGCTCGCAGCGCCCGCGGCGCTTGCAGGGCGCGCGCGCGCATCGTGGGACGAGGTCGTGCGCCTCTCACAGCCACTTTCATGGTTATCGACTTCATACAAGAAGTTACGACGGGGTATGATGGGGTATGCCAGTGGTTAAGCATAAAGAACAGAATGTTTTTTGTTTACGGACTTGTCCTCCCAGCTGAAGCGGTCTCAAGCCGCAAGTGTCGTTTTAGTGGGTCATGCTGCATGTTGTTTGAGCTTGTTTTTCCCTGCTGCCTGTGGGATCCGTGGCTTTCCCACGGGCTTGCTAAGGCTTACGCGGCGGAGCGGCGAACGACTCACCCCTGTGCTTTCGGCGAGGTCCAGCACGCTGTCCAGGCTTTTTGATTGGCGATATACGACAAGAAGCAAGCTTGGGCATGATTGGAATCAGCTTTTGTTGTTCACGGGATGTTGCTTGGAATTAAGTCGCATCCCATCTGCTGCGTGCATGAAAAGATGGACTCGAAGCCCACAAACGTGGGCGAGCATGAACAAAAGAGCTTGACACATCCAGGTAATCTTTGGGCCGCATGGTTCCGGGCACACCTATCATGGACGTGTATATGGAATCTCCAAACAAATCCGTAAAACTTTTCTCTCATCATGACCCAGCTTTAGGCTTCGGGGCCGAAGCTTTCGTCGCTTGACTTTGTCGGCGGCGAAATAGGAAGCCCAAGAATGCAGCAAGCAATTCACGAAACACGTCATGCACAGCCTTTCAAAAACCTGAAGCAGTAAGTCCGGAAGCCGGCAGTTGTAAAACAGCTGCCATGAAGGCCTCTGTGCATGCAGGGCGGCTTTGGTCTTTGAGCTAACGAACTTCGCCAACATTTGTTTTAAACGCACCTTTTCGCAACCGGCTCAAACGCGGTCCCCGTGCACAAACGCCCTACGGAGCTATATACGCAGCACGGCCAGGCATTTTTCAAATTCTTGGTGGCGTTTTTGTGCTCGAACAAACTTGCGCATGCGTGCTGCTGCATGGAATTTTTTGCCAGAGCAGCCCGCGGCGTAAGAACTGCTGGCATAGAAAAGCCGCGTGCTGGGCGCGCAGGACCCGCGCTTAGCGCAGCGGGAGGCGGCTCGGGCCCGTTGGCTCAGCGAGCGCCAACACCTGTTCCAAGTCAGGCTCGTACCCCGAGGCGGCGTTGGAGAGGAGCCCCGGCACTCATGCACAGGGCCGTGCTGCAACTCCGGATAGGTGGCACGCTTGCGGCCCTCCGCCACGCGCAGGGCAATGCCGGGGGAGGCCCTGGGACGACGCACCGTACACCACGAGATCGAGATGTCTGACGTCGGCACTCCTGGACGTGCGCGACAGCCATTGCTGGGGACAATGTGTCCCTCCTCCCAACGCCTCGCGACAAACTGCGAGCCGGCTCGCTCGACCAGCTTCGCTCGTCGCGCAGGAGGCCATTGCGCGTGCAGGCGAGGGCGTGGTCGCCCCAAGGGTCCAACCCATCCATGCCCGTCTTGGCCACAGGCGCCGGAAGCAGAGCCTGCGAAGTGCAATTTGCATGACCTCCGGTGGCAAGGAGCAGGACCTGTCCATGGGTATGGCCGTGAGCCACGCGGCTGTGAGCCCGACTGGGACAGCAACAGTGGCTGGTGAGCAAACTCCAAGGTGGGCAGCAGCACGCGAAATGGAACTCAGCAATAAGCACTGCTGGATTTGGATTTGTTGAACAGACGTCCTGCAAGCCATCTGCATCAGCATGCCGTGTAGTTACTCACGAGGTGTTCTGCTTCGCATGCGTCCAACCGGCCAAACCCACCACCGATTTCGTGCGACCAGGCATCGCCAGACAGTACCGTCATGGCCACGCGCATACACTCCCATCTTATCTGGCAGATGCTGGCAGAAAGGCGGGACACGAGAGTGCGCCACACGTGGCAGGAGGTTCCCGTCGGCGGCGACGAGGGTCGAGGGTACAAATTGTGCTGCGTCGCCGCGTCAGTGGCCCCACCCCACCCCCCGTGGTATGCCCCCCTCGGACAGTAGGCAAGCCAGGACTCTCATCCGAGCAAACCATCACGGGGATGGTGCTCGTCCGCGTCGTAATCCTCGTAACCTCTCGCGCAGAATCTCAAGAATGACGCTGATGTGCTTCTTGCCTGTTGGTATTCCGAGCGAGACTGGTCGTAGCACCACTGCTCTTATGCTGTTCTGCCCTTAGGTGCTGCATATTCTTTGCTAGTATTTGTTTCAAAGCTTGTTTGGCTTGCTGTTCTTTCGTAGATTTTCGCAATTTGTATCGACCGTTGTCATTTATGTTCAGTTTCGGTTGAGTGCGTAAAGAAGTCAGCCCGAGCATGTGTCTGAATTGACTTTCATTCAAGACTCTTGAGCCAGGGATCGGAGGAGCGTGCGGACGGGGATCGTGATCACCGTCTTCGAGGGAGGGACAGAGGGGGAACCCACACCAGATCGGGCATCATGTACAACAAGAAAAGCTCACCGTCGCGCATAAGTGGCAGTACGGTGGCACTGCAAGCGGAAGAGCACAGGGCACGCAAGCACAATGCTTGCCCGCACATGGTCTCAAGTCTCGCGGTACCAAAGGTGCACAATCTAAATGGCGTGGCGCTACACCAATGTTTCCCCGAAATGACAAGCGTCGTCTCGTCCGTCGAGAACATTCCGTTGACGAAATTCTACTCATTGGTTGTCAGCTTCAGGCAATATACCAAGCGCTGCAGAAGCGAAAACTGCAAGCGGATGTGTCACGGGATGCCGTCATGGCCTTGAAGACCTTATTCGGAGACGCGTTTTGCTTGCGCACTGTATTGAAATTGTGTAAGTGAGCGGAGCTGAGATGGGACGCCGTCAGGCCCAAATTCGTTCATCCCACCGAACCAACCAGGAGCTGATGTTACGAGACAGGCCACACAACCACAATTTCCTGCCCAGCGAACAAAACCTCTCCGGTCGAAGCTTCGGTGATGCTGTCTCTCTTTTTTTCTCCCGACGCGTTCTCGGGTGCCCAGCTTTTAAAGCTGGACATCCGAGAATCTGGTGAACCGCTGAAGCTGGTGCTGTGACCAAGCTACAGAGGCCTTCGCAGACCGCGCCTTTGCGGTGCCACGCTTCCCGGCCCTTCGGCCACTTTGGCTTCTCAAGTCTCTTTTGAACACCCAGCAAACGAATCAGTCAAGCACGCTCGCTGCACCTGGAGGCTCGACCCCCAAAACTACTGCAAGCGGCACACACAGTGGGCTCTCTCGCTCTTGCAAGGGGCACCCCAAGCGACGGTGATGTCTGGGTCAATTTCAGTGTGGAGCCGCTTTGTCGGCCTCGGGATGGGGAATCTGAGCCCGCGGAGACGATGACTAGGACGAATCTTGAATCTTGGAGGCTTGCCCGAAGAACTCTTGCAACAGCTCGCGCAGCTTTGGCATTCGAGATCTTGGGTGGTTTGGCATTGGAGCGAACTCTGAAGCAAAGCAACGCCCAAGGGCCCCGGCGCTCCACCAACGAGTACGACATCGTCAATATGGGCCGCTGTCATCATCTGGTCCTCCAGGACCTGGGGCAAGCGCATCCTGACTGCAAGAGTCCCGTTCACAGCCTGTGATTCAGCCGCCGGCTTTCTGCACTGGCGCCATGGCTCGCCCGAAAAGCTCTGCCGCAGCCTCCTCAAACTCTGTGCGAGTGACGACCTGGAGTGTGGAGAATCGAAGCGGGATGCACCAACCCGAAAATCTGCCAAACTTTATGAACCTGCAAACCTTGTACGTTTCAACAAAATTGGGCACTCTGTCGGTGAGGTGCTCAACGCCGCTTCTGCTGAGTTCCTCTGGGCCTCGGGCCAGCACCCGGTCGATTCCGTCACTGTCACGACCTCGTGCTACAACTAAGGCATTCCGTGTTCGGGTTTAGAGCTCGAGATTTCGGTATAGTTTAGCGTTTGCAGTGTTGCAAGGCCTATTGGTGTTACAGGGCTTCTAGGGATTACAGCCCCTGAAAAGGTACAGGGTACAAACGATGGATGCGAGGAAAGAAGCGACAAGCGTGTCTTAAGTTTCAAGCGCTTTGTTGAGCCCAGCCTCCAGGTTCAGCACTCCCAAGCACAAGCCTGCACTCCCAAGTCCCCTGCAGATCGTTTCTGCTTTGCTCGCATTGCTTAACCTTGACTCAGGGTGGGGAATGAGTGGCAAGCTTGATTGTTTTCTGCTTGAGTCTGCTGCCTGATCTTGACAGCTTCTGCCAGGATGTGGAGTCCCGAGCTGTCACACCTCTCCTGACTGACACGGTCTGCGTTGCAAAATGCACAGCAACAAGTCCTTCGCCACGCCAGCCGACGACACCGATGCTTCTTGGCGCTCCTAATTAGGCGGAAGAGATCTCCGTCGGTGAAGGGCTGAAAAGAGCGGGGCTCCGGGCCAACTTCGACTCCAGCAACCGCCGCATCCTCGGCTCTCTCCGGCCGCTAAAGTGCCTTTGCCCCTTCGGCCTTCAGCTCGCTTCAGCTCGCTTCAGCCGAGGCGCTGGGTGTCGAAGTCCGAGCCGCCCAGGTGGTCGTCCCCGGAGACGCTGAGAACGCTCACCTGAGGCAAACACGCGAAGGGCTGGGCTCAAGCGGCGGCTGGGGGCCGCATGAATCAGGCCGCGTGCCGCGTTCCCGTTCATGTAAAGCAGGGAGGTGTCCAAGGTGCCACCCCCAATATCGTAAACAAGCACCTCAAAGAGAGGACGATGGGCCCAACATCAGCTGCCCCATATTTTACAATCTGCTGGCAGATTCCCCAGTTCTCTCCTCGGCTCCAGGCATGCCTCACACCCTCACCTCGAGGACAACAGAGAAGCTGAAACTTTTTCTTACCTCGCCGCCACCTTGGTGCAAATTGTAGGCCACCGCTGCTGCAGTTGGCTCCTGCAACCACAGTCGTTGAATGGGGGCCTTCTGTGAAATTCCATTCCTCCTGCAAGATCTGTTTCATGTTGCCGTGCACTCAGCCCTCCTCTCCTTGCTCAACTGTTGTGTTCGGCTGCGTGGCTCTGTGACAGCGCCGACAACCTTGTGCTCTTGCTGACCTCTGTCCTCCTCTGCGGATACTGCAACAACCAGCAAAGCCCAAATTTCAGGCCTGACCAGGACCAGGCCTTGCTGCGACTTCAACCATCAGTATGATTGCTTTCTAGTTGATATGTCCGGATGTACTAAGCTGTTTACCCATCCGTGTGCTGCTTTGGGGCCTATATGTCGTGATTTATATGGATTCATTCACTGAAGGTGCGTCTGTTCATTCATGTATTTTTAACTCAGCTGCAACATAGCAACAACACTGTGAGCTCTGTTGTTTTTCTGTCTGGCGAATTGCTGGCTATGACCTCTGCACTTCTGGTTCGATGTCGGGTAATTCGGTGACGACGGCAAATTCCCCACGTCTGTCTGCAGCATGTGCAGACTTTTCCCTTCGCGCACTGCTAGTGCCAGTGCACGTCCCCACCAGGCTCCTCGAGAATCCGCATGACCTTCATGCCGGCCCGCTCGAAGGCCTCCTGCGTTGCCTTGGAATCGCAGGGACGAGTTTCTGCTTTGCCGCTTTGCCAGCTTCCCACCTTGGTTTCCGGGACACCGAATTTGGCAGGGACCTTGACAGGTGAAGTGCCGGCGACAGATCTCCCAAAGCTCTGGCCGCTCGCGGCTAGGCTCCTGACGCAGATCACTACTCGCGAGATGTCGAAACCTCGGCGCAAAGAACCAACAGTCCGGCCAAAGCTCTGAACACTGCAAGCCTCCAACAGTTCGAGTGCCCATAAGCGTTATAAGCCTCAGCGCCACGCCCAGATGATGGGAAATTGAGCGCCGCATGTGCGCCACCTGCCAGCCGTGGGCCCACGGCCATGAATGGTTCACATCGGTGTAGCATGCGGAAAGGCTCGGACAATTTCCGCCCCAACCTCAACAGGAGAGATCCACCTGCACTGGTGGACGGTTGGCGGCAAGGGTCGCCCCGAATTCCCGAATCTCTGCCTTTCGCCAGCGGCAAGCTCAACTGCGAAGCCAGCCTGGAGACGGGAGACGGAGTCACAGAGGGGGCCGGGGGAGGGGGGCGCGGGGCGGTTCCTTCGTTTTGTGTCGGGCCGAGTCGCAGGACCACTCAGGTTGCCGGCGCTTGGCTCCTGGGACCCGGCAGTGAAATTCGCCGCCACCTCAGAGAAACATCCCCAAGGGCCGGGCAAGCGTAAACATCGACAGCATGCTGCTGGCTTAGTCCTACGTGACATGTCTGGGCCCTGACATCAAAAGTAGCCCGCCTCTCCGTAAACAGGGAGAAGCTCGGGCTTACTGAGCAGAGCAGGCCCTGCGGAGGCCTGGGGCATCTAAATCTAGACCTCTAGACTCTCTAAGCCTGGGCCCTGCTGACCCCACCTTAAGCCCAGTGAGAATCATTAAGCCGCCTTGAAGCTCCAAGTCTGAGAGCTAAATCACAGCACCTCCGGCCGAGGCACGCGATATGCATGGTCGGCGGCTTCAGCAGAGACCTCGCGCGGACAACAAAGGTCAAACATGATACTGGATATTCGTGCAGCATGAATGAATATCTGTGCATATACATATATATATAT